GCATCTGGTTCTCATGTATACAGTTGTGGCCTGGAAACCTAGATGACTGTATGACACAGCAGAGCTTGAAATTCCTAAGATTTCTTAATTCTTACTCTTGTTTCTCAGTCACCTACAGGTAAAAAACTGATCAAATCAGGTTCAGAGGTGATCAGAATCTCTCAAAACCTGGCAAAATGAACTGAGGATGTCAGCCTTAGAAGGGACTTTGGTGATTCTGATTTTTAGGTGGGTAAACTGAGGCCTAGGGAGGTGTTTTCCCAATGCCCCATGGTGCTGTTCCAGTGGAGTCGCTGCTGATGGCTGCAGGTTGTGCTTGTAGATATGGGCATGTTTATTCCTGCAGGAGCAGCGAGGGCCGAAGGCACAGCCTGGAGACTTTGCGGGGTGGTGGGGAAGGATGGGTGCGCTCAGGTTTTGAACAACATGGGCCCCTCAGCTTCCGGTGGTTGTGCATGGACAGGGAGCCCTCTCCCATGCCCTCCCCCAGCACATTAGGACAGGAGTAACAGACGAGAACACTGCTAGGGGAGCACACAGCCTTCCTCTCACCGCCTCCCAGCCTAACCCCCAGGAAGCAGAGCTGTTCCAGCCTTCCTCCTCCCTGGAGGCCCGGGAGGAAGGCAGACATCAGGGACACACCCTTCGGAAAGTCGGAGTGAATCCTCAGGGCCATGGCCAGCCTCGCCCAGAGGAGAGCCCCGGACATCAGCATGTTCAGGGGAGGAAGTCAGAAGGTTAAGGAAACGTGTGGATGAAAATTAAATGTGAAAGGACAGTGGTCTCTCTAGGATTTTCCTTCATTTCCAAACATATTTTATGAGGAATAGAGCCAAGAGTGGAGAGACAGATGGATTTGAAATAAAAACCAAGTTTATGGTCTAGGTCTACACTATTCTGAGACTTTGCCCAAGTCATGTCCCCCTTCTGAACCTCACTTTTCCATTGCAAATTCGAACAAGGAATGCCTGTCCTCCCTACACAGGGGCTCAGTGGGAGGGCTAAGTGGGATCACTGATGTGAAGGCCATTTGTGAGCTACAAATCTTATAGAAATGTACGCACTATTATTTTATAGTTGGAGATTTAGGAATAGGTCTCATGCCGCATACTTGCACCTGGATTAAGGAAAATCTTGGAGGTCTGTGTGGGGTCCCAGATGCCCACAGAGATGATCAATTCAGGGAAAATATTTAAGTAAAATTGTCCCCAAGTAAATGGGGACAAAAATCTCTAGGTCAGGTTTGGGTTGGGAGGCTGGGTTTGAATCTGGGAGGAAGAGGAGGACAACATCTTGGCAAAAGTTGAACTTGCTTCCTTTATGATCACAGGAACCAAACTTCTGTTACTTTTAGCTAAAACCCAAGAAACTTGGTATGGATTTTCAGGTAGGATGAAGTCGTTTTTAGGCTAGGAGGAAGTGTGAGGGCTTTATTTGAGTCTAAGTCACCACTCACTAGCTGCATGACCTTGGGTGAGAAAGTTTTCCTTATCAACATCCTAGCACAAGGAGTCTGAGTGGGAAAAAGCAGGCAGTGGTTAAGATGTAGGTATTTTTGCCCCTCCATCTAGCGAAGATTATGGACTACTTGCAATCATAGGATTTTTACAGTCAGAAAGTGACAAGCACGGCAGTTTAGATCCGGACAGGCTTTCCGCCTTAAAGCTGTGGCTCAGGTCACGAACACTCCCACTTGGGATCTTGTTTGATAAAACTGCATTCCGGGGGTGCCTGGCTGGCTCAGTGGGTTAAAGCCTCTGCCTTCAGCTCAGGTCATGATCCCAGGGTCCTGTGATCCAGCCCCACATCGGGCTCTCTGCTCAGCGGGGAGCCTGCTTCTCCCTCTCTCTCTGCCTGCCTCTCTGCCTACTTGTGATCTCTGTCAAATAAATAAAATCTTAAATTAAAAAAAAACTGCATTCTGCAGCCTCTTAGCAGGGGAATCCCAAGGTCCTCTGGATAATGACCTCCAAGATGAAGAATCTAAGTGCACACAAGTGTGTGTCAGGGAGTGCGTGCAGTTTGCCGCTGTGCAGAGAACGCGGGAGGGAGTCCTGAGGGGGAGGGCACTGTCCGGAGAGCCGCAGGACCTGCATGTCTGGCTCCGATGCTCTCCTCACCTGGTCAGCCTGACCTTGCCAGTGGCACGGGGTCAGCCGGCAGGTGTCCAGAGGCTCCAGCGGCTGCAGGAAGGGAAAAGCCTGGAAGAGAGAAGACGAGCCGGAGATGGTTTCCACGTTCCAAGAAGGAAACGGTGGGATTTGATCGTCGGCTCCAGCAGGAGGTCGAAGACAAGGCAGCAGCAGCTGCTAGGGGCAGGTGGACCCAGACAGGAAGTGCCCCTTGGCCTCCTGGGGAGATTTCCAGAGACTTCCCCCGGACAGAGTTCTTGTCTCCGGGAGGCTACGGCAGTGGGACACAGGGACTGGGGGAGATTTTAGCCCCTCGATCTGACCCATGATGCAGAGTTTATGATGCAAGTTTCTCTTCTCCTCTAGGAGTTCCTGTGCACTGAGCAGAGATTAAATGGCAAAGAGGCAAGGAATTTAAAACAGTGTGCGGGAGCAGGGCGTGCGCTCACAGGACTTTGGGGAAATGGATATTTCTGTTTGCGCTCTGGTTTCTTCATCTGTTGAGTACACGCGGCGCGCTTACCTTGGGGCCACGTCCAGGCCTTGGCATTGAAACGAATTGTCTTTATTTTTTCTACTTACCCCTGTTGAGTTCATGTTATTCTCCCAATTTGACAAGTAAAAGCCAGAGGTGCAGAGGGTAAGTTGCCCCAAGTCCTGCAGCTTGGGCAGGAACAATTAAAACCGTGATTAGGGAAGCTGCAGCTTCCAACTCCAGCATCCTTGCATTCTTTGAGCAGAGAGAGGGGACAGGCAGGGGAGTCAGCAGGGGTGGCAGACACACTCCATGGGAAGCCAGCTCAGCTGCCTGGGCTCAGGGAGCTTTGGGGCCGGGTCAGAGGTCATTGTTTTGGGCTCCCCTTCTCCCCTTCCCACCAGTAGACTGGAGGCTTCTGAGAAGAGGTGACGAATCTGGAAGAACAAAAAGCTTCTGTTTTCCAAGAGAGCTCAGGAATGTTCAACTCACACAACGGAGCTGGAGCTGATGAGACATGAGTTTTTGGGAGGAGGAGGCAGCGGTGGCAGCTCTGTGTGTGGCCCTGGAGGGCCACTGGGGGGAGATGAACTTACAGCAGGGCAGGGGGAGTGACCCGAGCACCCTGGCTTGAAGACCTTCTGTGGGGGAGGGCTGTGGGAAGACGGGGGACAAGATGGGAGACGACCTCCTCAAGGAACCCAGAGTTTCCAGAATCTCCTTGTCACTCACCTTGGCCTGTGGAGCCCAGGGTGGGATTCCAGACTCTAGGGACAGCCAGCCCACGAACCTTCCCCCTTGTTTTACTCATTCGCCTCTTGTCATCAGGGCCCTCAGCCTTCCAGGATGCAGAGCTCTTTCCTCACCAATTCCCCCAATAGCTGGGAAAGTGGGAGTGGACTGGGGACAAAAAAACAATTTTTAAAAAAATTAATATAATAAAGGGTGCCTGAGTGGCTCAGTGGGTTAAATGTCCGAGTCTTGATCTCAGCTCAGGTCCTGATGTCACGGTCATGAGTTTGAGCTTGGTGTGGCGACTACTTAAGAAATATATGTATATAATAAGACACTCATTGCACAGCCTAATGATGATAAAGTGCCACCAATTTAAGAGTTTGGTTAGCTCAACCCTTTGAATCTGACGTCCAAATGGGGGGGAAACCTAAATGATGTTTTAAGCGTCAAGGGACTAATAACCTGATGAGGGACGCCCACGTTTTTCAAGAACACAAACAATAGGAGTATGAGTCATACTTTACCCATGGGGAGAGGGTAGGGAGAACGGGAGTGGAAGTTGAAGTCTGGGAACAATACACAAAACTAGAGAGGGACCTTGCAAGGACAAATGGTCACGAATTCGGGACTGCGATGAACTGTGACCCCAGCACTTGGGGACCAAAAGTAGACTCCCTGGGAAGCGGGGGTTCAATACGTCATGTAAGTGGGAAATCCCCGAATTCCTAGGCTCCAGTCCGTGTCCCCCATCCAGTCCCCATGTTAGCAGAACTGCAGCCCAACAACGGCGGCATTTTTCTTCTGGAGGAATTTGTGTGTCCTGTCCTTGTCCTTTTCTGGCCCTGGGGCTTCCCAAGATGAAGAGCACTTTCAAAAGAACTGCCTACACACTCCGAATGGCGGGTTATCCCCCAGAAGATTGGCAGCGGCCAGTCCCCCTCCTCAGTCTGGTGCCCAAGGGCCACCTAGACTGGACCCACGACCCCCATGCCGGGTGCCTCCACGCCTTTCAACGCTGGCCAATCTGATAAACACGGAATGCATCTTTGATCATGGGTGAGGAGAACACTGTCTCCCAGCTCAGATGCCGAGGAGTCGAGTGCCTGCTGCCTCATCTGCAGGGCTGGCTGCTCTCCTGATGACTTGTTGGCCCTTGAAGGCAGTTGGTCATGAACGTAGAAAGGGGCTTCCTTCGCCCAGGTTGAGAGTATCTCTCCCTCCTCGGGCCCAGTTTCCTTCCAGCTCTCTTGGAGAGGTCCTAGGTGGTCCACACATCGAGTGATTAGGAATGGGATCTGGGCCGTCTCTGTTGGCTGTCTGCAGGGACCCCACTGAGAAGCTGGGGAGGCTTTGTCTGCATCCACCCTACTCCCCACGCAGGTAAAACACACAGTAATCTGCAAGGACCGTGGGTGCATGCCCTCACCTTTTCATGATTCTGCCAGAATTTATATGTCCCAGATCCGCGCCGCACCGGTGAGCACCAAGTGCCCACGGGGTGTGTGTGGGTGAGGGTGTGGTTTAAATTCTACGTCCCCACTCACGGCCCAGAAGTCCCTACCGCCTTGCGATTGGCCTGCGCGGTCTTGGCTGGTATCTGAAGGCCACCGGGGTGAGCGAGATCTCGGCCTAGAAGACGAGAGCCACAGACAGCAACCATGACCGCGCAGCTGAGGGCCTCCCTCCTCGCACTGGTTCTGCTAGTCAGCTCTCTGCAGACCCGCGCCAGGCCTGATAAGACGAGGGTGAGTGACCTCCAGACAGGCTGAGCGACTGCTCTGTCCTGCTCCAGTCCTTCTTGTAAGACTCTGACCTCTGCTTTCTTTCTCCTTGTGGTTTTCCATTAACCTTTCTTCTCTTCTGGCCTCTTCTTGTACCCTAGAGACGGGTGCTCCTTGAGCTGCATACCGGGAGGGAAGTCTCCTTACTGTGGTCCTTGCTCTCCTGCATCTCTAGTCAGGGTGGCCACACCGGTACCTGCGTCAGCGCGGGCCCAAGGCGCAGGAAGGCAGCGGTGGGGGCAGGGTTTGGAGGAGAGGGTGGGCTATGTCATCTGAGCTGCAGCTCAGTGGGACAGCTAGGACGAGGAGGAAGAAAACCAGTGTGGAAGTTTTATGGGTGGATAAAGTCAGAGAGTTAATCAGAGAAACATAAAACGCAGGCAAAATAATTGGAGGTCTAGGGGCACGTGGGTGGCTCAGTTGGTCAAACATCTGTCTCCTGATCAGGTCATGGTCTCAGGGTCCTGGGACTGAGCCCGGCGGGGAGTCTGCAGCTCTCTGCCCCTCCCCCTCCCACACGCATGTTCTCTCTCTCTCTCGCTCTCTCTCGCTCTCCCTCTCAAACACATAAATTAATCAATCATTGGAGGCCCTCAAGCAACTGGATTTAGAATCAGGAGTCTTGGATTCTGGCCCCAATCTAGTCCCAGTTCACGGCTCAGCCGCCTTACTGGCGAACCATGGGGGCAGCTGCGGGGTGGGGGGGCAGCCACCTTGTGTGTAGCTGCGGAGTGGGGGTGGGGGTGTAGCCGTGGGAAGGGACACAATGATCTGGGTGACCTGGAGGCAAAATGGAACCATGAAGGGAGAGGCCGGCAACCTTTCATCCAGGTAGTGTAGCCGTCACTTCTGGTCTTGGACAAGTCCCTTTGCCTTGGTAGCCTCTGCTTTCTTTCTCATCTGAAATCTGTGGGCAACAGAATGTACCTCGTGGGCGGGTGAGCAGTCATCCTGACACGTAGAATGTGTTCCGTAAAGGGCAGCGACGGTAAGACCTTCCTACCTCTCTGAAATTGACGGGAGGACCTCCTGGCTGACGCTCTACTTTTGAGAATTTTTGTGGCTTTTCTGTTACTCAGGGATGCCTAACTGGGTATTGGACCCTGAGCCCTGGGCCGTCACATTTGCTTCAAAAAAAGCTGAGTCTGGAGGTGTCGGAGAGGTATCAGACGGACTTAAATAGGCTTGAAGCAGCGACGAGTGTAGGAGCCAGCTGGTCTGAGAAGGGCTCCCCAGGTCCCGAGCCTCTCTGAATCCCCACACCCTAGTTACCCAATGTGATTTTCAGTAAATGCCACTGCAGTAGCAAAGGAAAAAAATAAGAGAAAAATTCTTAAAAATATTTATGTTAGAACCAGCACCATGGAACGGATGGATGCTTTGACACAGTGTTCTCTCCGTGCCTGTCTCAGTTCTGCTCCAGGAAACATGTGAAAGCCTGCATGGGGAAGGCACCTTTCTGCCCAGGAGCAGGGAGAGAGTTCGAGAGCCTGGTGAGCTAGTGAAGAAGCAGTTGGCCTAGAAGGCTGGAGAAAGTCTGGTTTTGCTTGTGTTGCATCTGGACAGGCGGTGGTTGGCTAAAATCCTTTCCAGTCCATTGGATTTCCAGGGAGCCTGGCTTCCTCCTAGTTTAAGCCTGGACCTTCCTTAACAGATTATGACCTTCTTCCCTTTCTCAGATCAGTTCCTCGGCCTTTTTCTCACCATGTAGATTGGTGGTTTCCTTCTCACACTTTCTCTTTCATACTCCCTGTGCTCCATGAGCAACTGGCAGCAGCTTTCCCAATGTCGGAAAAGGGGTCCTGCACGGACCCTATGTGGCTAGCAAGGAGTAAGAATCAGGTGGGATCTGTCTTGGAGAGGGATTTAACCACAGAACAGGCAGCGAGGACGTCCTGGACAATTCATTTCTGTATTACAGGATTTATCCGTGTTGGTGGAATTCTGCCCAGATGAGTTCAGGACACTTGGGGAGGAACAGGCCAGGTGGAGCCGTGCTGAAGGCGAGGCTAGGACAGGCTGAGGGGCTCACACTGCAGCCCTGGGTGCAGCTGGACAGATTTCAGTGCCTTTAGCAGGTGGACCTGCGCCCTCCGCATCCGCCGGGGGGAGCTACAGACGGTTTCTGAGTGGTGCCTTGGAAGACCATCACACCAGCAAGAGAGGGACAGGACGGAGGACACTATTCAAGGCACGGCTAAGATCAGGTTCTAGAATGTTAAATGGGGAAGGCGCCCTGAGGACCTGATTGGAATCTAGATAATGTCTTCATTTTACCAGTGGGGAAACTGAAGGCCAAGCATGACTGCCCAGGTTCACAAGAGACCTCGACAGCAGAGCTGACTTCTGACTCGCAGGCCAGAGTTCTCTCTACCACATACACAATCCTTCACTGGGGAATCCAGGCAGGACACCCTCAACCCAGAGCCAATGAGTCGCCTCATTTGCACAGAGGCATGAAAGGCAGCAAGCCTTCCTCTCTGGCCTCACTTCCTTCTAGGGTTCCCATCCCAGCTCAAGGGTCTCTGCTCTGTGCCTCTCACTCAGCGCATCTCCTGCTCTCCTGCCTCTCCCAGGGTAACAGGATAGGGAGATGGACTGTTGCTCAAAAACCAGTGGCTTCCAAGTCACAACACTAAGCCTCAATCCTGTCATACACCCGTAGACAACTCCTGTTTGTTTCCTGGTTTGCCTTCAGGTAACAGGCACCACTCTGAGTGCTTTGACAGCATACACAGACGTTAGGAACTGTTGTTATTAATATCATCGTTTTTTTAACTCTCAGATGAATTGCTACAAAGATGTGAAAGGCACCATCTACAACTATGAAGCCCTCACTCTGAACGAAAATGAGCTCATCCAGTTCAAGCAGTACGCGGGCAAGCTCGTTCTTTTTGTCAATGTGGCCACCTACTGTGGCCTGACAGCTCAGTATCCGGGTAAGACTTCAGAGCCGCATCTCCTTGGGACTGAATTTTCTCATTATATTCTAAATCATAATTAGAACAACAGTCTCATTACACATCAAAATCAATCCTTGTGATCAAGTGACTTTCTTCCCTGACGTCAGGAGCTCACTGGCAAAGGCGCGCAGGCCCAGTCTGGTGGGCCTGCCTTTGGAAACAAAGTTTTATGGGAACACAGCCCTGCCCCTGCACTTACACACAGATTTCACGTCTCCAGGCAAGGGGAGTAGTTGGCGGTAGCGGTGATGGAGGCCGCCTGCCCAGCCACATCTAAGGTGTTCACTGTCTGGACCTTTACAGAAAGTTTGCTGACTCCTTCCCTATGTCCTGCCTCTGCTTTGCTCCTGAGCGTTCCAGGAGAATCGACATATGTCGGAGGGCTAGGAGCCCCTCCACAGATTCCAGAAGTCTCCTTGGTAAATACCAGAGACAGGATCCATGTTGGTGAGACTCTCCCAGGGTTTCACAGGTCACCTACAAAGCGGGGGGGGGGGGGTGCTGGGGTTTCATACGTGCAGCTGCATTTGCTGAGAGCTGGTAGAGCAGGTGGGGAAGGAGGCGGGTCTTCCTGCCCCAGCTCAGTGCCTCCTGGACAGAGATGCCCCCTGGGAGGGACGTTATCTTTCTCATACCTCAGACCATGTCATTTAGAAGATGATGAACAACAAGCAGGATGAAGGGTGCCTGAGTGGCTCAGTTGGTTAAATGTCCAACTGTTGATTTCAGCACAGGTCTTGATCTCAGGGTTGTGAGTTCAAGCCCTGCTACAGGCTCGGTGCTGGATGTGGAACCTACTTTAAAAAAAAATAATGAATAAGATGAATTTTACCAGAAATAGAGGGACTTATATTTAAACTAACAAGAACTTCATTTTTTGTTGTTTTTGATTATGTTTTTAATAGGTAATATATTCACAAGTCTCCCAAGTTATAGGAATCAAAAATCTAGAGTGAGAAGTCTTTCTGCCTCCTTCTTCCTCCCTTTAGATGACTGGTATTATCATGTGTACAAAATACACAGATAGAATTTTTTTCCTGCACCCCCCAGCGGCAGAATAATATAAATACTACTTGCCACTTTGCTTTTTGTTTTAATAAAAGTATTTTAGAGTTAAGACCATCTCCTCATTCCTTTTTAAGATTGAATAACATTGTGTTGGACCATAACTCATTTTACCAGTTTATAGTGACTTCAAAAGTCAATGTACTCAGTTCCCACTTTGTACATAATAGACGAGGACACCAAAGAGTGGTTGCTTAAGGACTGGAAGACAGGATTCCCAATTTATTGTCTTTTTCCCGGAAGGAAGTGATCATGTACAGTGACTAAAGATGGGGAAGGATGTAGGGAGAGGTACTGAGGAACTATATGGAATCAGGAAGGTGATCTCTAGCTTGTGAAAAAGCAGGAAAGAAAGAAAGGGAAGGGAAGGGAAGAAAAGGAAAGGAAAAGAAGGAAAGGGAAGGAAAGAGAAAGGAAGGCAAGGCAAAGCAAAGAAGGAAAGGGAAGGGAAGGGAAGGAAGGAAAGAGAAAAGGAAGGGAGAAGGAGAAGGAGAAGAACAGGACCCGGGAAGTACCAGTTGACCAGTTGGCCGTGCAGAACCTGAGTGGGAATGGCTAGTGTTTGCCAGGGGACTGAAGTCATCTAGCCCAGAAAGTGCTGGCGATAAAAATCTGAGCAATCAAAGTGGAAAACAGCGAAAGAAGGCAGGTGCAATCTTGTGTTTTGCCATGTCGGTGAGGACCGTTAGGGAGAACGTATCTTTCACATCCTGAGGACTGTTGAAGAACACCAGAAAGCTGGGTCTGGAATTTCTCTGGTTCTCTTTGCACCTGTCAGGTTTATCTGTTCCACCCAGGGCACCCAGTCTGTACGGAGGAAAGAAGCCCATTCTCATCGGTGTCTTTTCCTTTAAAACGGAAAGCTTCAGTCTAGCAACTAACCCACTAGGGAAGGCAAGCTCTTGTTTGTGTGTGGTTAACAAAAGATACGACACAAAATTGACAATTTTAGCCATTCCTGTTACTGGTCAGTAGTGTTAAGTGTTTTCACATTCTTAAGAAATGGATCTGTAGAACACTTCCATCTTGTTGAGCTGAAACTGTACCTGTTAACGACACCTCCGTTCACTTTCCATGAGCACTTGCACCTCTTACGTCAACAGGAACCTGGGGAGGTTCCGAATAGTAACGATGACTGGGGGCCGCCTCAGAAGAAGGGACTCAGAGAATTCTTTGGGACGGGACCTGATCATCCCTAGTTTTCAGGAAGGGCCCTCAGCCGGTTCTGATGTGCCAGACACTTGGGAAATATAATAGGGCCCTTATGATAAAGGGCTTTCGAAGGTATGTCAGGAGCTCCAGCCTCTAGGAGTCTTTCCAATCCAGAGATTTTCCCTTCCCGAGGCCTCTCTTTCCCTGAAAATGGGCCCAGATCATTCTCTCCGCAAGGCAGAGTCTCCAGCCCGGCCTCCTTACTGCCCCTTCTCTAACCCACAGAGCTGAATGCACTTCAGGAGGAGCTGAAGCCCATGGGCCTGGTTGTGCTGGGCTTTCCCTGCAACCAATTCGGAAAGCAGGAACCGGGAGACAACTCGGAGATCCTTCCGGGGCTGAAGTAAGTGCCTGCTTGTGACCCCAGAGGAGGCCTCCGTCAAGCTTTCTTCTGTCTCCAGCCTCTAGCGCCTCTCTTACTGGGGATTCCCGGGAGGGTGGGGATTAGGCGTACCTGCAAACGGACATCAGCTTTGTCCAAGCCTGATGTGAGTCTGGTGGCATCCAGAGACCTCCTTCTCCCTGGGAGCGAGATCTAGGGGACCAGAGAGGTGCAGGAACACGGACACAGCTAGAACAGAAGCAGTGCGCGGGGCCCAGCAGAACAGAGGAAAATTATGGGAACCAGGGGGCCCAAAGTCCAAAATGGCCTTATTCTCCCTTCCCAGCCCTGTTTTCCACATCCGCCCTTCTCCCTGTCCCTCCCGTGGCCCCATGGTGCCCCCCTTAGCTTGCTCACGTATGTGCTGGAGCTTCCTGGGAACATTGTGCCTCGTTGCAGGCACGTCCGTCCAGGGAGAGGATATGTACCTAATTTCCAGCTTTTTGAGAAGGGGGATGTGAATGGTGAGAAAGAACAGAAGGTCTTCACCTTCTTGAAGGTGAGTGAATTACTGACCCAAACGTCTTCTTCCCCAGCATTCCTAGCACAGAGCTGGTGCGGTGGAAATGGACCCAAGGCTCATGCCTGGAAGTGGCGTTGGGTTATTGGCAAGAGGGCTCCACATTAGCATAGAGATTGGGGTTTAATTTGTCAGTATGTCTGAGATTCCGGCTTTCGTGATGGAGGGGGCTGTGGAGAGTGGTCGTGTTTCCGAGGACCACCCTCGTTTGCTCACTGACATTCATTCATTCAAGGTACATTTGTTGAGTATGAGGCAGTTTGCTATGGATATAAAGTATGGATATAAAGAAGGGGGGGTGCCTGGGTGGCTCAGTCATTGAGTGCCTGCCTTCGGCTCAGGTCATGATCCCAGGGTCCTGGGATCGAGTCCCCGCATTGGGCTCCCTGCTCAGTGGGAAGCCTGCTTCTCCCTCTCCCGCTCCCCCTGCATGAGTTCCCTCTCTCACTTTCTCTCTGTCAAATAAATTAAGTCTAAAAAAGAAGAAGAAGAAGGATAAGACACAGTCTCTGGTCCTTGATGGGTTCCTACTGGAGAGGGAGAAGTAGACATCAACAGGTTAACACCATGTCATAAGTGCCTTTTATGAATCACTGACTTTTAGATCCAGAGAGCAGAAGGCTGAGAGGGTCCCTAACCACCAGCTGTTAATTGTTCCTAAATGCTGGATGGCAAGCCAGCGCTGGCCCAGATAGAGATGTTTATACACCCTCAGAAAATTGAAGAAAACAGCACTGTGTAAGGAGGTTTCATAAACTCAACTGACTCATAGGGCTTCCCTTTACTCTAAGATTCGGACCTATATGCAATTTATTCTTACAATGTTCTTTTTAAAAAATTAAACGATGAAGTGATGCTGTTTCTCTAAAGTTTTGTTATTGGACAAAACAAAATGTTGGAACTCCATGTTGGTCCCAGAGATATTTTTCGAATGCTACTGGCCCAGGAGCCCTAAGAGCTGGGAAACTGCTTTCTAACCTAAACCACTGGCTTCGCAGAAAAGGAAACTGACAGTCACAGAGGTGACGTGTTTTACGGTGGTGTGGCTTTGTGGTCACAGGGGTCACAGGGGTACAGAGGAGGGAACAGACTTTTGCTGTTACATCTACAACCATCTGGATAGCTGGCATGGTGGCAATCCAGAGGATTTGTTAAGCATCACGGGAAATCAGAATGTCTAGGCATGGGAGGGAGCGGATTCCCTCTGGGTGAAAATAGCAGAAATGATGCTGTTTGTCTGTTCCGTCTCTGCTCCAGCTCTCCTGCCCTCACCCCTCGGAGGTTCTGGGCTCTTTGAGACACATATCCTGGGATCCCGTAAAGGTCCACGACATCCGCTGGAACTTTGAAAAGTTCCTGGTGGGGCCTGACGGAGTCCCTGTCATGCGCTGGTCCCACCGGACTCCCGTGGGTGCGGTCAAGGCAGATATCCTGGAGTACCTGAAACAGCCCAACAGTAAATAGGGAGGACGGCGGGGAGGAGCCGCCCTGCTTCTTCCCGGAAGACCTTCTAAAAAATGTCTCGTCTCACTACCCTCTTCCTACACGGCCTCCCCTTGCCCAAATCACTCCATACCACAGCGTCACCACTCTCTACTGAGCAGAGTCATGCAGAAGGCGACCGCTATTACTCCCTGGGAGAGTACCCATGTGGGAGAAGAAGGAAACGACGGAAACCCCAGATCCTCAGAGCTCTGTTACACATTCAATCAGTCCTCCCCATCCAAGGAAAACCAGCCTTCCGGAGGATGGTTCAGTCTGCCGGCACGGCCTGAAGAAGAACGTTCCTAGACGGAATGTTCCCCCTTCTCTGTCCACCCTGGAGATGCAGAGGCGACAGGGGCGGGCGGCTATGCAGCCTCAGCTCCACCTCCTAGCACTCGCCCTCCCCGAGGTACTGTCACTTTCTAAGTCCCTTCAGATCAGTGCGCGACACGCCCCCTCCCACACGCACGCTGACTGGTCATTCTGGTGTAGGAGCGTAAGGAGGCGTGGGAGCAGGAGACGGCCTTGCATGGAGATAAGGGCATGTCCATGGCAGTGGGACCCAGAGCCTCTCTCTAATTTAGATCCTACAGAAACTTCCCTATTGTCTGACCTTCCAGCGCACTCAGGTTAAGACACCTGGGCAAGGCATCCTTTGAAGGATGGGCTCTCCCCACCCCCGCGGATTCCTCAGCCCTGCACTGTCCCTAATAAAATGTCTTTGGCAGCATCTGGCATGACTGTGGTGGTTTTTGTACCCTAGCCTGCGCTCAGACTTGTCTTATCTCTCTCATCTTTCTCGCTGTGATGATGACAGATGGTGTGTTTCCCAGACTACCTGAACCCCTCAGATAGAAGGAATTATCCTCCCAGATCTTTGCAAGGTTGTCACCTGGAGGCTCTCAACTGTTAGCCTTTGTCAGGAATGACAGGTTGGGTCGAGGTCATGTCCCCTCCAGATGACTGAAGGCCGAGGGTGCTCTCTGACCAGTTAAAGGCTAACTGTGGAAGCCAGACTGCCCCGGTGGAAGGAGGTAAAGAACCTTTCATCTCCTGCAACCCAAGGGCACAAGAGGCTGTGGTTTAGGTCCAAGAGTTAATCATAGGAATAGCAGATCCCTAAAGAAGGTTAAATTCACCAACTAAATTGTGCCTAGGTCATGGCCTTGATTGGGAAAGAAGAGAACCTGAGACACTGGGTGGAGACATCTGGTTGGTTGCATTAGAACACCTAAACCCCAGACTTTCCAAGACCCCCAGTTCTCCTTATTAAGGGTAAACATGTCCTTCTTGCTTGATGACAACGCAGATGCTTCTGTTCTGCCAAATGCTACGGGCTCTGCCCCCGACCCAACATCTGTCCAGTAAACAACTAGATTCTAAGAGTTCTGGATCAAGGGGCATGGGACACAAAGTCTGCCACAGGAGGGTTCACTGGTATTGGAGCATTTTCCCAAAGCGTAGAAATTTCACACATTGGCAAGAAACCAACACACTGTTTGGATTCTCCAGACTGGAAAAAGAAATGGCTCTCACTAAATGCAGTAGAAATGCCAGGACTGTCGTGGCTGATGGCAGAAAGGAAGGGTCAAGAGCTGAGAGGCATGTCCGCACTAGAGCAGATTTACCATGTGATGCTGGAAACCCACTGATGACGATGTTGCGGGAGTTTGAGAAAATAAAAAGAAGTAGGATCACAGAGAAGTTATGTGGCAAGTGTCCTCGAAAGGCCTGGGCTCAAAGGAGATTCTGCTGAAGTAATCTCGCTGTTAGCAATGTGGATTATAGGATCCCAAAACGATTCCGGCCAGAGACGGCAGCACTCATCCATCAGAGTGTGAGAGTGCGTGCTGGGGGTGGGGGCAGCCCACTCTCTAGAGTGCTGGAGATGGCGCATAGAACACAGCTTCCCTAGAGCAAGGTAGGTGAACAGCCAGCACTGGTTACCATTGTCCAGTCAGCAGAAACCAAGAATGGATCACCGGAGCCTGAGGGCAGCAGCCCCAGCTACACATAAAATCACAAAACCTTGTTCAGCTTCCGATCCTGAATCGGTTTTCAGACCCAGAATCGCTGAGTAAAGGAGAGGCCAAGTCCTGAGAAGGTAGAACCTGCACCACCACCACAAACACATAGAAAGTAACTTCCCCATTCCTTTTCTAAAGGGACTTCTGACCATTCACTCAGCAACCCTAAAACCGAGAAGGGGAAATACCATTATAGCTCAAGAATTGCTGGACGTAATAAGATCCAGGCGGCCGATGATACCGGAGGGCCCGACGTGTCACCACGGACCCCGTGAGAACAGAGGCTTTGGGGACCAAGCAGCCGGAGTCCGGGCCCAGGTCCAGTTCACGGCGCATCCACTGAGGCCAAGGATGCATCTGGTAGAAATTTCTCTTGTCCCCACCGTACAGTTAGAATGACACACGTGGTAGTGGGCAAACCTGCTACACCAGCATCTTCGCATGTGGCACACGAGCTGTCACAGCAGAGAAGGCCAAGTGGAAGGCCTGACACTGATGCCCAGACCCGCCACCAGGGCAGCAAATGCAGCCATCCTCCCAGGCAGAGTGACCGAAGGGCCAAAAGGATCAACAGGACACACGACCGTATCTCCGTGTAACACACCAGTTTGTTCCTACAAAGAGGAAAAGGAAGGTCCTGGGGAATGACAGTGACCACCTGCCTCGATGAAACCAGGGAACAGCCCAGATTGACACTGCTGCCCCTGATGCGGGGTCTTTGTCAGAAAAGATTAATTTACATCCTTGGAGCCTTTAAAGAAATAAGTGGAAAATAAGATTATGTGTAACACTTTTGGGACCATTAGTTCAAAAAAAATCACCTGAACACCATCATAAAGTCTTCCCCTGACTCATCATACTCTCTAGACACCCCGACATTGCCACCTCAGACCCTTACCTCCGGCTCGCAGAGCACCTGCGTCTGCTCAGAAAGTGTGGAGGACACTGACCCTCTGGGAATGTCGTCCTGTCAGAGACTGACTTCTCATCTAGGAAGGCCACATTCCTACTCAGAAGACAATATTTGTGGCTTTGGGGTCAGAGACAAGAGAGGACTGATGGGCTGGTCAGACCTCTGGCTCTTCCCCGGGACCAAGAACTGAGCTCGCTCGTTAGCTCGGGCTGGGAAATTCCTGGGAAGAGAAGACACAGGATCAGAAAGACAGCCCCTGCTCCGGGGCACGGGTCCTCAACCTCAACCTCCGTACCGAATGTCTTCTCTATCAGAAGACAGGTCAAAGGCATCGGGTTAAATTGGGATAGATCGGTGGGTGGCTTGAACACGGTCTCTTAGGAATAATCTAAGGATGTGGAATAATGAGTCATTACATGTTCAGTCCTCAGAACAGGTGCAACCCGACAGCAAGGGCTATCTAAGTGTTTCCTCTAGCTTGACCGTCATGGGACATAGTTTATGTTACAGGGTTCAATAAAAATAAAATAATACAGGGGGTCAAGAGCTGCCCCTGCAGCCACCAACATGGAGACACTGAACCGTGTCCTGTTCTCAGAGCTCGAGTGTCCCAACCTAAAGCTGAAGGACCCATCCTGGGTGCACCTGTGGCGGTGACTGTGTCTGCACTGCTGATGTCAAATCTCCTCCTCGTCACCAGAAGAGTCACTGACGATGTTACTATTGGCACCTCCGAGTGCGGGCTCTATGGCCGAAGAACATGGGCATCAGGGACAGGAGCTCGCTTGGACGCTATCTTATGGAAGGACTCGCACCCAGCGTCCTGTTTACAACTTAGGGCTCACAATCCCGGGTGGGTCGAAGGCACCAAACGTTCCAAAACTCAGTAGATTTCTTCTTCTGTTTGTTGGATTTGCCTGTGTCCTACTGAGTTTTGTCATGGCGAGAGTATTCAGGAGAGTGGAACGGCCAGGCTATCTGAGGACTTAAAATGCCTTTTGAGAAGAAATCAGTGGATATTGAATTTGCTCCTCTTCATGAAGTTTTAAAGGCTGTACCAATCCTCTGATGTAAAATATGGAAAAGAATGAAAAGCAGCAGAAGATGAGTACTTCATCTAGTGAAAACACAGGAAGGCATTAAAGCTTGAAGAAGAACGTCTTCTTGGTATCAGAGAGGCAGGCTCATCACAGTATTTTCCCTGCTGGCCTATACTGATGTGCCAACAATGGTAAGTGGGATTTACCATTAACTTCTTGGTTTTTCATTTCTCAAAGAAACTACACTCCAGGGACACCTGGGTGGCGCAGTCGGTTAAGCCACCACTCTGCGTGGCTCTGGTCTGTAATCTGGGGGAACTGGGATCGAGTCCCGTGTGGTGACACAGCAGGGAGTCTGCTTCTCTCCCTCTGCCCATGACTCCGTCACCTCCTCTCTCTCTCTCTCTCTCTAAAATAAAGGAACACATATTTTTTTTTTAAAAGGGAAGACATGAAGAAAGTTTGGGGCACACCAATGAAAAATTAAAACCTTAAAAAAAATATACTCCATTTCTACAACTATAATATTTAATAAAGTGATCATTTTCTACAGCCCCTTTAACAATTCTTGCACATGACATTTCTGACTTTCAGGTATTAATACAGAAGTCAGGAAGCAAGACCCCATAAGCTGTGGACTCTGGACAGACGGTCCGCTGCGCCCGTGGTGACTCGCCCTTACACACAGTGTGTGACCACACGTTATCTCAGATATGTGTGCGAGACTGTCTCCTGCACAATAAGACATATTAAAGAAGCAGAAATTAAAATTTTTTCTAATTAAAACTAATACATAAACGCACATGTGTTACATAGTGCGAGTGTGCACTTCAAAACTACTCCAGCGAAAACCTTCATCGAACCGAGTGTGAAATGACCCACAGCACAAGTAAACAGAAGATCTGAGCCCGAGACCTTAGAAAATGTTCAAGTAATTTTCACGTCGTTTCCTGCATTCCCTTGGCCCGTTTTGCAGCTCATATTTTCAAAACAGTGCTG